TCCTTCGAAGTTTACTATCTCGAGTTGTAAATGTCACCAGACATTTAATTTCCTGGTTCATTATAGACTCCTAGTTGAATTTGGTCTAAAAACAAAGTTTTTATGATTACTTCATCAACACCTCCCGTGTCAGGAACATCTCCAGGTATACGATCTCCGCATGACCTTCTTTGTCGAACTCTATTCAACCTTTATCTTCTTCGTTGCTCTTAATAAAACAAACAACAAATGATATGTTCAATATGTATCATAACAAAAACAAAAAGTACTCTTAATGATAAAAATAATGCATATTAAACTCAAGAACATAAACCAATATAAATGTAACAAAGACTCAAATGATGAACAAAAGGGCGATGATGCCTCATTTATACACATGACAATCGTCAATTACATAGGAACTTAATAAGCACGAAAGATCAAAAATTGTCATTAAACAAATATAAACTATAACCGCAACCAAGCAACGAGTCTCTCACAATTGAAAGCCACATCAAAAGTTGAAGGACTCCTATAATCCATTACTCCCAAATAAAGCTTAATTAGGCACAAGATGTAGCATTGAATCGATATCTTCACGACAAATCAACAAAAGTTATCTTAAGTTATATATGATATTGATATAAACATGTAGATATTTATGGCCCAAATTTAGGAGTGTTACCTATTCAACCTCATGTTCACAAAAGACCTTTTGTGCTTTCTAAACTTTTGCTTTGTATGTGTTTGTTTCAACATAATTTTTGTGTCTCCATCATATCAACAACTCTTTAAAGGATAAAGTCTTTCTCATATACTGATTATGATTTCATGCTAAGACTAAATGATCAAGTTTTTATCAAGTAATATAAGTAGTCAAGTAGTTGACTCAATCACATTACTACTTTTATCAACATACTATATGTTGATTATGAAATTAGTTTTTCTTACTGTTAAACCAATTTAGAGCAACATGAATCTCTTAAGATGCATATCTATACAAATTTTTCCCCAAAATTATAAGTTTTTTTTAGAACCGCGCCAAAAACTATTAAACATAACAATAAGTAGTATATTTCAAAATTTATAAAACATACACAATATGTGAGGACTGTTTGAATATTAGAAGTGTTTCCATATTCTTATCAATATAGTATCCGTTATATTATTGCGATCAAGGAAAATATATTAATAGACTATTACCATATTATCAACGTCATTAATTGAAAGAAATACAATATTAATATCAATGTTCAAAAATTTTGTTTAATTTTCGACAACTAATAACTATATTGTTACTCGTAAAATAAACTTGGTTTGACCACATACATATATTATTTAAGGGCATGTTGAGCAACAAGTTTTTGCAATCTTTAAAAACTTTTAGTTTTAAACAAATCAAACAAACAATATTGTTTAAAAATACAAGCTTAAAACTTTTAATTTAAACCAAAACCCTAAATACAAAACAACTTCAAATAATTAAATATCTTAACATTAATTATAAAACTATAAAATATATTATATCATCTTATCAATCTATTTAACATTATTTAATCATCTATATCTATAGGATGATGAAAATGGTATATATATAAAACATTTATTATTCTTCTTTATAATTTTCTATAACTTGTTTTTTTACCATTTTCAATTTTTACACAAATGATAATACATATTAAACTTGTTATATGAAATGATCATATATATTACATAAATTAATATTTCAAGTCAAATTTTGATAGTTTAAATTACAAGTACACAAAATCACAAGAAGTCTGCCGATGAGTAAAAGACCGATTTACCCTCGTCCTTGACCAGATTACAATGTACATACGGATACGGTACCCGGTGGTGTGGGTCGATAAATAAAAGGGGGTAGCGAACGGAAAACAAAGAATTTTCATTCAACAACAAAAAAAAGTTTTGTGTTCGTCTCCCACACCGCAACTCTCAAATCGATTTTTCGTACACAGAAACGAAGATTTGAAGGCACAAATTCATCTTCAGCTATTCGTTTTTCGTCTTTGCTTAATCGATCTGTCGATTTAACTCTTTGTTCATTGAAAAAAAGCGGTGAAGATTCGTTACGTTCCGATCCAGCGTTTCAGTTGGGTGAATTTCTCTTGTAAGTTTTGTTTCTGGATTCTAGGGCTTGCAATTCGGAGTAACTTTCACTGATTTCGGTGAATCCGGTATTGATTTTGGTTTAAATTTGGTGATTGTGTGTGTTCATGCATATGAATTTTTTTATTAATCGAAACCCTACATTGTGTTCGATTGGTTGCTGACTCGGTTTTGATTTTTTGTTTCTTGATTGACTGGATACAGAGGTTTTTCCGTGAAGATTTTGCGAAGATTTTTCGTTGAAGTATGAGCATCGAGAGCCCCGGTGAAGGGGAGAAAAGCTAGGGTTTTGCTTTTTCGGCATTGCGAGATAGTATTTCCATGGGCGATGGAGGTGTTGCATGTGTTCCTTCGCTGCGATTCTCTATTCCTGAGACATTTTGCGGCGGTAATGACGGTGGTAAGTTCAATATCAACGTTACAGAAGACAACGTAAAAATGAAGCTGGCGAGAAGAGATAAGTTTCCTTTAAAATCAGGAGAGCTGTGTGATGATGATAGTGAAGACTTTTCAGTAGAAGAGAGAGACGATAAAGCTGCTGGGAACGGACACAACAAGGAAGAAGTAGAAGAAGGTGAATTGGGCTCTTGGGAGAATGGAGAGTTCATCCCTGAAAAACCTAGAAAGTTTGAAATCAAGAGTGAAATTGAGAAGGGGGAGTTCGTAGCGGATAGGTGGAGAAAAGGGGAGGTGGAGAAGGGCGAGTTTGTTCCAGGAAAATGGCGTAAAGGGGGGTTGCAAAGTCTAGATTACTCAAATAGGAGGAGAGAGTTTCACAGTCCCGAAAGCACGCTATCAAAAGGAGGTAAAGATGAAATGGAAAAAGGTGAATTCATCCCAGACCGTTGGCAGAGAAATGAAGTAGTTAGAGACGAAATTGGCTACTTGAAAACTCGCCGACATGATTCTGCCAAAGATAAAGGATGGAAACAACGGACACCTGGCAAGTATTCAGGTGAAAAAGATTGCAACAGAAATGGAAACCAGTATTCCAAGAAGTCTGCAAGGTGGGAAAACAACAGCAGAGAGAGAACCCCACGGATGAGTTCAAAAATAGTAGACGATGAAGGGCCATTAAAGGAAGAATTCAGCAACGGTAAAACCCATCCAAGAGACTTCCCTTTAGGGAAACGCTTGAAGCGCCACAGTGTTCATACAGATATCAGTGACAGAAAACACCATGGTGAGTTCAACGATTACACACCTTACAAAAGTCGAAGAATTTCTGATGATGGAAGCCGATCCACATACAACCCTGAACATTCTTACAAAAGTTCTCTCTCTACACGAAATGTCCCATCAGAAAGATACTCCAGGAACTGTGAATCTCCACTTTCTTCTAGACCATCTTACGACAGGCATAATAATAGTCCACGTCATCCTGAGCGGTCCCCACGTCAGCATGACCGTCCACGTCAGCATGACCGGAGCCCGGCCCGCCGTGATAGGTCTCCCTATGGGCGAAATCGTCATTATGATCACAGAAACCGAAGCCCAAGTTATTCTGAACGCGAAACTGCTCGAAAAACCGGTTCAAGTGAAAAAAGGAAGAATCATTATGAGAGTAGAAGCCAAGAAGAGAAAGTGAATTCAAGGGAGCCACAGATCTTGTCTAAAGATTCTGAAACAAGAACCACTCTGGATGCTTCTGATGAGAAAAATGCTCGACCAACATTACAAAAGGAAGACTTGAAGCAACCCCAGGAGGTCAATGGGGCTGGTGAAGAACAGATTTCCATGGAAGAAGACATGGATATATGTGATACCCCACCACATGTTCCTGAAGCAGATGCATCAGTTTCAATTTCAACAACCGGAAAATGGTGCTACTTGGATTATCATGGTGTAGAACAGGGACCATCTAAACTAAGTGACCTAAAGATTCTTGTAAAAGAAGGCTTTCTTGTTTCAGATCACTTGGTCAAACATGTGGATAGTCAAAGATGGGTAACTGTTGAAAATGCAGTTTCACCAGTAGCAACAGCAAATTTTTCTTCCAGTTTTCTTGATTCTGTTACTGAGTTGGTTAATCCCCCTGAAGCACCTGGAAATTTGTTAGTAGATGTTGGTGAGTTGGGTCCAATTAGTAACCAGTTAGGTGAAGAGGCTGTTTCTGCTGAAACAAGTAAAAGTAAAGAGCTAGAGTCTGAAGAAGGTCAAAGTCAAAGTCAAAGTCAAAGTCTTCGCATTGACCAAAGAGTTGAAGCACTCTTCGATGGGGTTCCCAGGATTCCAGGCAGAGAGCTTGAGACTGTTGCTGGTAATTAATTGTTTTTCTTTTTCCTTTCATTAACCCTCAAACTTCTTCAATTTCTTATCTTTATTTTAACAATATTTATTTTTTTCCCTTTTTTTTACCTTTTTAATTTAATTTCCTGCAGAAGTGCTGCAAATAACTTTTGCGAATGGTAAGCTGCAGACGTGGGGATATTCTGAAGGTACTGTTTTTTCAGAATTTTGTCATTCCCTTTTTTGTACATGTCATCTCATTTAAAATGACATCATGGTCAAACATGGTCAACAAATTTATCACTAGTTGTCACCCACCTTTTGGGAATATATCTCACCTGACACGTCATATTCTGTTCTAAACTTCAAATTGCTAAATCTAGCCCAAACATTAAATAGTCCCTTCTTTTTCCTTTTCTCTTGATAAAACCTTTTCTTTTGTCATCATTTTTTGAAATTATATGAAGATGAAAAAAAATCAAAAAAGACTCCATCTTTTTACATAATGTTTATTATACATCAAATTAGTCTACTCTTCTACTCTTATTATTCTACAAAAACGGAAATATCATGTTTTTTAACAAGAATCTTTTCAGAAAAGGAAACATTATATTTCTTTCAAGATATAACCCAAAATGAAAAAATCATGTTTTTAACCAAAGGAGGAATCTTTTCAAAGTCCTATAATACACAAACTAACAAAAGTAATTGTTTTTACAGGTGATTATGATAATCTTGACATATCTACTCAACCAGAGCTTCCATCTAAAGAAATTGTGACACCTGAATCTGAATTTGAAGATTCTTGTGACTGGTTTTCTGGCAAGTGGTCATGCAAAGGGGGTGACTGGAGAAGAATGGATGACATTAATCAAGATAATAAATCTTTAAAAAAGAAATTGGTTCTCAATGATGGATATGCTTTATGCCAAATGCCAAAATCAGGTGATGAAGATCCACGTAGGCATCAAAAAGATGAGTTATATCATTCTTCCCATAACAAAAGACTCGATCTTCCATCATGGGCTTTTAATCCAACGGACGAGATCACTTCAAAAAACTTATCTATAAGAGGTGGAGTAAAAGGCATGATGCTTCCAGTAATCAGAATAAACACATGTGTTGTAAAAGACCATGGATCTTTTGTATCTGAGCCTCGAATCAAATCTAGAGGAAAAGAAAGATACCCTTCAAGCTCAAGGCCTAGTCATAGTCATAGTCATCATTCAAAAAGATCATCAGAAGAAAGTGTTCCTCGCCGGAAAACCACTCACAACCACCACCATGACAATGTTTCCGGAAAGACGATTATGCCCCTCAACATGCCAAAAGATCATCTTTATACTAAAGACGACCTTCAGTTACCTCTTGGTGATTGGTATTATCTTGATGGGGCAGGTCATGAACGGGGGCCAATGGCGTTTTCGGAAATTCAGACTTTGGTTGATCAGGGTGTTGTTCAGGAGCATAGTAGTGTTTTCAGGAAGCTTGATAAGTTGTGGGTCCCGGTCAACTCTGGAAATGAAGGATCAAGAAACGTTGATGTTGATGATGAGAATAAGTCTAATTCATTTCATGATTTGCATCCTCAGTTTATTGGTTATACTCGAGGAAAGCTTCATGAATTGATTATGAAGTCTTACAAAAGTCGGGAGTTTGCTGCTGCCATTAATGAGGTTTTAGATCCATGGATTAATCTCAGACAACCCAGGAAAGAAATAGAGAAAAACATAGTCATCAATACCAAATTCTCAAGATCAGGTATTAAAAAAAAAATACTATTCTACTTTCATTTCTTCTTCTTACATTACAACATTCTACTTTGGAAAAAAAGATTGTGGGACCCATTAAGAACTTTTTCAAATCTCCTTTGAATCTTTTTGTCCTCCTTTTGTATTGTGCTTTCAGTTTTCTATTTTCATTTCTTCTTATTACCATAAGTGGCTTTTTCAGGTGATGGATTTGATGGAGATTATGAATTAGAAGATGCATCAATATTGGAAAAAGATGAATGTGGATTTGATGATTTATGTGGTGATGCTACTTTCTGTGAAGAATCTGTGGTGAAGAATGAGAATTGGGGTCTACTTAGTGGACAAGTGTTAGCCCGAGTTTTTCATTTCCTTAGAACTGATATAAAATCACTTGTTTATGCAAATTTGACATGTAAGCACTGGAGATCAGTTGTAAAATTCTACAAGGGTATCTCTAAACAAGCTGACTTGTCTTCTGTCTCAAATTGCATGGACTCTTCCTTCCACAATATAATGGTCAGTTTAACTTCCATCCACAAGACACAAATAAATGAAACTTTTTATAAACTTATATATTTAATTTGTGTTGCAGAATGGTTACAATAAAGAGAAAATCACTTCATTGGTTCTAAGAGGATGCAATAAAATAACTCCAACAATACTTGAAGAAATCTTGGGGATGCTTCCGAGTTTATCAACAGTAGACATAAGAGGTTGCAATCAATTTGAAGACTTGACCCGAAAATTCCCGAATATCATATGGATCAAAACGCGGGTCCCACAGTCAACACGGGTGACAGAAAGAACATCTATTTTCAGAACTTATGACAGCAGGGATAGTCATGTGGAGGATTCAAGTGGACTTAGGGATTATTTTGAAAGTCTGGATAAAAGAGATGCTTCAAATCAGTTATTCAGAAGAAGCTTATACAAACGTTCAAAAGTATTTGATGCTAGAAAATCATCTTCAATGCTATCAAGAGATGCACAATTGAGGCGTTTGGCTATGAAGAAATCTGAAAATGGGTATAAGAGGATGAAGGAGTTTCTTGCTTTGGGTTTGAAAGATATCATGAAGGAGAATACATTTGAATTTTTCATTCCAAAAGTAAGTCTAAGATTTTTTTTATCCTTTTTTTTTTCTTTTCTTTTTACTTTTTACCATGATTTGACTAATTGACTTTCTTTGATGGCCAGGTTGCTGAAATTGAAGGTAAAATAAGGAATGGTTATTATGCTGGCCGGGGGTTGAGCTCTGTGAAAGATG